ACTGGCCTCCTCACAGAAATGAGTCTAATGAACCCAAATGATGTGCATGTGCTCCCGCCTGTCCATGGAGGACAGGACAGAGGGGGACAGCAGGTTAGCAGAGACAATGTCCCGCCACTTTCTACATGAGTGGGTCCAGAACTGAGCAGGACAAAGCAGAACAATGGACTGGTCCTAATGAGCAGAACACATGGGACTTGATGGAAAACCGTCTCCTGTCTGGTTTTGTCACAGAAACAATAAAAGTCTCAAACCCAAACTGGTTCTGACCCGAACACTAAACTTGGCCACATGTAATCTAATTACTCAGCTCTAACAACAGGAACTTTGTGTGGTGAGTCTTTAATCTGCTCAAATCTGATTATTTTCAATCAAACTGAAAGGAAAAAGTTTAAAGTTGTTGGAAAAGTTGGTTTGGAGCTCAGGGGGTTCTAGTTCCGGTTCTAACCGGACCACTTACCTGTACAGAGGCACAGCAGCCGGTCCAGCGACCCGTTCCGTTACTCTGTCAGAACCTGTTATCCGCGTGTGGGACCGGAGGAGAACAGGGAGCCGGTTCTGTTAAAGGTCCTTATAAGAGCGCCGCTGCAGTCACCTGACCCCTACGTCAGGGGGGGGGGGGGACACGGGTCCGGTAGAGGGGTGGTTCCGGACGGGTCTGACACTTTCAGAAAAGTTTACATTTATTCTCTTTACTTTTCAGACTTTTTAAATCGTTCATTAACAAACCAGAATGTTTCCAGTTGTCATGGAAACGGAGACAAATGAGGTCGTTATCCGGTGGATGAGCAGTGTAACGCACCACCTTTTGCGCATGCGCGGCTGATCCCATCACACCTGGACGCGATACCTGTGTGTAGCGGTGGATGTTCATGTCCAACGTCTTTGTCTCCCAGAGGTGCTCCGTGCACAGATGCGCGTGACAGGTGCGCAGCGCCACCTAGTGACGTAAACGCGAGGCGCCCTCCCTGACCGACTCCTCTGTACTGTGGCGTTCCGTCAGCGCGTGACTTATTTTCAGATGATGCGGTTTGATTTACCCTGTTTTAGTGTGTTTTCTTGTCTATCTTCTGTTTTTATTTGTCTTGATGTGTTTTTGTGGCCCGTGCGTGAGTCGCGCGTGCACGGCGCTTCGGTTCACGTTCTAGCTGAAGGAAAGCGCGTCATTCATGACGATGATGATGATGATGATGATGCAGGAGCAGAGAGGAGCTCATCTATAAAAACAAGAGTTTCAACAAACTCCTGCATTTCTGTCACGTGACGCATGGCGCTGGGGAGGCTCCTCCCACCAGTTCTTTGTGGAATATTCATTCATTTCTTTAGTTTTCCTTTTTATCACATGAAGTGCTGATGAGAGGATTTAGAGCTCGGGCAGCATGGAAGCTGTGCCCGGTGGTGCAGCGACGGAAGTAGGCGTGCGTGAGCGGCGTTTGGAGCTGGTTTATCATCCCCCCCCCCCCCCCCCCCCCCCGCCCCCTCAACAGTTTAAGGTGTTTATTAATCTGGGTGCACACATTTAGTACCATCTTATATTCTGATCAGCTGTTAGCTGATGGGTTGATTCTTTGTTACCTTTAAGAAGGTTTATTTTTGGTCGATATTTAGATTTTGGGCCCATTTTTGATTAATTTGCTTCATTATGGATTTGTTGTTCATTATTTTGTAAAAAAAACAAATGGAGAATCATTTTTCACACCTGACGTCTGACTGCTTGGTCCCTGACAACTGGGGGCCCCCACCCCCAACCCAACAGTGATAGGAGCCAGAGATGGGGGAGTAAAGTCAGCTCCTTCAGATAAGGAAGGACAAACAGAGCATGGCGGTGATGGAGGTGGGTCATGACAGAACCAACAATATCAGACCTGACTAAGGTCCTCCAGACTCATGTTTATGTTTATGTTTATGTTTATGTGTTTAGCAGATGCTTTTGTCCAAAGCGACTTACAAGTGATAATCGGCATGTTGCCCTTGAGGCTAACAACAACAACAATAACAACAACAACTTGACATCAGTCATGGAGAGGAGGGAACAAGGAGTGGACAGTAGAGGGGGGGGGGACGGGTGCAGGGAGGGTGCTAGTTTAGAAGATGCTCTCTGAAGAGCAGGGTCTTCAGGAGTTTCTCGAAAGTCAAAAAGGAAGCCCCTGTTCTGGTAGTGCTTGGAAGGTCGTTCCACATTTGTGGAACGATGCATGAGAAGAGTCTGGATTGTCCTGAGCGTGGTGTAGGCACTGCTAGCCGACCATCCTGTGATGACCGGAGCGGCCGGGCCGAGACGTAAGCCTTTGCAAGAGGATTCAGGTAGATGGGAGCCGTACCGTCTCGGACTTTGTATGCTAGTGTTAGCTATTTGAATTTGATGGGCACGCAAAGTTGGGGGGCCACAAAGAGGGGCTCGCGGGCCTCTTGATGACCGCTGATTTATATGAACACCAGTAATAACACGAGGGGGTTTAAAGGCTGTTAGCAAGAGACAATATAAGCCAGAGGTGAAGGTTTATGCATCTAACAAGAAACATCATAAGTGATCATCAGGCTGCTGTAAAGTCTAATCCAGGTCAGATTATCATCTCATCGGTCTCGTGATCAGCAGCAGCTGGATGTTCATGACCACAACATGTCAGGTGAAGCTCACTCCTCTTGTGACATTTTGTTTCTCGTGTTGGCTCACGATCCATATTTCCGTTTAAAAACCATCTCCTCCATGGATGCACCTGCCTGTCGGAGCGTTTAATGTGTGGAAAAAAGTCTCAAGATCTGTGCGTGTGTGTCTAGATGTGTGTAATATATATATAAATATCTAAATAAATTTAGATTATTAAAAATTAAATGTTGGTCTATCTTTTATAACTACAGGACCCTGAGCTACTCTGTTTTTCCACAGAAATACATTTTTGTCCCGTCAGAACAAGTTTAGACTTAATCCAAAGGAAAATTGGATTTCCCAGCTTCTACCCAGCATTCAAACGCACCACATACGCACCAATCAGGCGTGAAAAGTCTGAAAAGGATTTTTGTACTTGTAAACTGATTTGTGTGTGATGTAGTTTTGTCCGTGTGTACCAGGTGATGTGTGTGTGTGTGTGTGTGTGTAAGAACTGAAGATACACACGAAAATGTAAACACAAGTTACACATCAAGAGTTACACACACTGTCACGTTACGAGGTTTGTAGGACCCAAAAAGCAGCAAACCAGGATGACACGAGGCAGGAGATGATGTAAAGTAAAATCCTTTATTGTTGAAGGATGAAACGAAGAATTAATCCAGGGCAGAGAGCCAGAGTCCGAAAATGTCCGAAATAAACCAGAAATCCAACTGAGACACGAGAAAATACTCTAACCCTAACCCTAGGAACGAGAGGCTGACAGAAAACCAACAATGGACCAACAAGACACCGAGACAAAACAGGGCTTAAATACACAGGGAGGATGAGAGGGAGATGAGCTGCAGGTGTGTGGGGTGTGGGAGGAGGGCCAGGTGAAGGCAATGACTAATCAGGGGAGAAACTAACCTGACCCAAGAATAAAACCTACTACAAAAGAGCAGGAAGCATAACTGCAATTCAAAGGGAGGGGGGAGAAAAATAATAAACACTGATGGGAAAAACATACTAAATCATGAAAGGCTGTAACTAAAGGAAATTACTTGAGAAACCTAGAGGGCTGGAGATCTAGGGGCAAGTGGGGAAAACCAGAAGACACACGAGGAAGACGCAGACATGACACATGAGGGCGCTAGAGGACACAGAAGGAGCACCTAGAGAGGATGGAGAAACACCAGGAGGCACATGAAGGAAGGGGCAGACGCAGACCATGACACACACACACACACACACACACACACACACACACACACACACACACACACACACACACACACACACACACACACACACACAGCTTTCTTCTTCTGTGTTTTTTCAGCATCCTCGGGAGTGTAAATACTTCCACACCACCCTTCCTTAAGGTGAGCAACAGCTCTGAGGGGTTCAGACGTGCTGCATTCTCGTAGTTGGACTACAAAATAAATAAACAAATAAAATGGCGACTGGGCTCTGTGTTTAGCTGGAGGCCCACGACCATTTTCTGTACGATTAATAAGTAAAGAAATAATCAGAATTTAACAGCAGACACGTTTCTGCCACCCCAAAATTTCTTTGGCCCCGTCCGGCCACCCCATCATAATTTTCTGCAGGTGCCCCTGCACAAGAGTGGAAAATGAGACGGGTTATCCGACACCGTGCTCGTTGTCGACCGACAGCAGCAGCGTCTGACCAACCGGCGGTTAAATGCGCGGACAGACAGGCATCCATGGAGCTGGATAGATGGCTCCCAGAGCAGAAACATAGGAAGCACAAGAAAGAAAATGTCTAAACAAGAGGAGTGTGGGCATCCCAGCTGCTGCAGATCCAGATGTGTGTCTGGATGCGGACTCTGATCATGTTTATTCTAATAAAAACGAGAGAAGCTGTTGAAGCACGTTCTCTGGGAGGTTTCATTAAGATTCATTTTACCAGAGCGTGTCATCATGCAGCAGCTGGCTGTTAGTGAAGACACCAAGAGAGGAGGGAGGGAGGGACAAGACGCTGCATCGTCTAGAGATTATGGATGGATGTTTGTTTAATCAGCTGGTTAACAGCTAGTTAATGTTAGTTAATGTACTGAGAGAGAATACCACTGTGACAACAAGAAACCCCGTTAGGACCGTTTCAACCATTACAGCCGCATCTCTGTTCATGATCAACAGCTACAATAATGATTTCTTTATTTGGTTTTTGTGTAAATAAATAAATAAATAAATAACTCATCAAAGAAGCTGGTTATTTATATGAAGCCGTCCTCCTCTCTGCAGGAAGACTGCAATAACTTTGTCATAGACCTGTCTCTGAGGCAAGCTAGCGACGGCGTTGGTGTGACGGCGTGTGGGCGAGGTGAGCGGAGGTGAGGCGGGGAGGAGGGCAGGCAGACAGGTACAAACTCTTAACATTGGTTTACTAGACACACGCTGGACACTGAAACAATGGACCGACACAAGACACAGAACAGAAGGGGCTTAGATACACGAGGGCAGGGAGCTAAGGTGATTGGGAAACGAGAGGCAGGTGGGAGCAATCAACGAGACACGAGGCTGAACCAAAACGGGGAGACAGGACAGGGTGTGACAGTTGGGCGGACTCGTGGTGATCAGCTTTGCTGTAAAAGACCGTCTGGAAAATGGAACTGGATAATCCCTGAGACCAACTTCTCCGTTAGCCACCCACCTGCTCTCTGATGATGGTGAGCGGCTGATGTTTAGGTGCACCTGGTGACGACTTCGGGGACCGCAGCTACATGTGCAGGTCACAAAGCTACACGTGAGAGTAACATGAAGCCCGTCACACACTGATTCTGTGTTTCACACCTACTGCATCACTACAGTCAGTCGGTGTAAAGTTAGCATCCATGACTGAGTCCTGACTGGGGCAACCCTAAGTGAGTCTGCATGAGAGGAAGCATAAAGAACGGAGCTCATTCTCCTCTGAACACGAGCTATGGAAGTGCTAGTCTTATCCGGCCTCCATCTT